TCAAGTTCCATAATTTTCTAATTATCTAATCTGCTGTTAGTCCCATTTAGTGAAATTTTTACTTCAGATCTGGTATTCTTCTTCTCCAAAAGTTCCCTTTTGTAGTTTTTTAATATCTTCTATTTTCCTCCTTATTAAATGCATTTTTTTCTTTAATTCTTTAGGCATATTTGGTTTATTTATAGTGCTACTTTAATGTCCTTATCTGCTGATTTAATCATCACTAATATTTCTAAGTCTGTTTTTACTGAGTGAGTATTTTCTTGATTATGGGTCACATTTTTTTACTCTTTACAGATGTTTATTAATTTTTCATGTGGTATGGGACATTATGAATTTTACATGGTTGAGTGCTAGCTTTTGTTGTACTCCTTTAAAAAAATATCATACATTTTTTTCTGGATGCCAAATTAATTCATGTACAGATTAGTTTAATCCTGTCAAGCACTGTTTTTAAGATTTGTTAGGGCGAATCTAGAGTAAACTTTACTCTGGGGTTCAATTAGCCATACTACTTAGCCATGGCCCTTCTGGAATCTCTACTGAATGCCCTGTGTAGTTAACAACATTTCTCCACCTTGGCTGCTGAGAACTGATTCCTGGCTCTGTGTGTGCTCTGGGAATTGTTTGGCTAACAGTTACGCTTATTCTTCTTTCCAGTGTGTTGTTCTTTGGCTGACTTCATGGAGATGTACCCTATGTATATATTGAATTATATTTAGTCAAAGTTTCAAAAGGATCATTATATAGATTTTGGAGTTTTTTTTTCTCCACATAACACTCTCCCACCCCCTTTCCAGCACTCCACAAATTCTACTTGCCTTAACAATCATGATGTGGGATCTGTCTCTCCAGTTGAGGAAGATCATTGAGCTCTCCTTTGGTTTCTCTTTCATGTGCTGTAATCCAGAAGTTGCCTCCAGCAGAACTCAGCAATAATTGAGCTTTTTGTTTCTCTTCGCTCAGTGTTGCACCTCCTGTGCTGTCTGTTGACCAATATCCATTGTTTATTGTAGAAGGTAAGCCCAGTTACAGTTACTCTTGGAGGATCACAAGCCCCATTTAAGTGCTACTACGTAAAGGGCACTGTCCTTTATCTCTAAACACAAGATAAACATTCCAATGTCTTTTCAGTCTTTCTTGACTGTAAATAATACTTGTGGCCCACATTCTACTTTCAAATGCCCTCCTATGTTCTGCAGCTGAGAATAAAAGCTGCAAATTTACAATCAAATACTTCACTGTAGGAGATTTATTTTATGGTTTTTCTAGAGTCCAATCCATATGTTTTTTTCTAGAGCCCAATCCTTAAGTTCACAGTTAAAATCAGTCTCAAAAACAGAAGGGAGTTTTGACAGTACAATGGCTTGCTGTAGGGAGGTTATATGCAGCCATTATCTGGACCAGTAACCCTCATAGTTGGAGACCTTGGGCATAAAGAAGGCATTAAGGGCAATAAGAGATTAAAGTAAATTTAGAGAAGTTCCCAGAGGTAGTTGTCAATGAGAAGAACATATCAAAGATAACTGCAATATGCTTTATAATCTTGCATCTGGTGGAATTGACTTCTCACTTTTCAGAGTTAAGAAAAGTTACCTCTCCCATTGTCTTAAGCAGGGGTCCCCAACCCCCAGGCTGCAGACTGGTACTGGTCCACAGCCCGTTAGGAACCAGGCCACACAGCAGGAGGTGAGTGGCAGGCGAGTGAGTGAAGCTTCATCTGCTGCCTCCCATCGCTCCCCATCACTCGCCTTACCGCCTGAACCATCTCCCCCAACTTCCATGGAAAAATTGTCTTCCACGATACCAGCCCCTGGTGCCAAAAAGGTTGGGGACTGCTGGTCTTAAAAGCTGGTGGTAGAGGTTATGGAGTAAAGAAAGTAAGTTTCTGGTATAAACATGGCTGTGTAGGTCAACATCTTTTTCTTAACCTGTGACAAAGCATACAGAAAAAAATGAAGAAAACAAGCAAAACCAAAAAGGTCCAGCAAATTTTACTTTTGTGAAATTGTGGGGCAGATTGAATCTACAGACTCGAATGTAAGAGTTTTTAGAGAGTTGATACTGGGCAGAAGCAACACAAGGAGAAAAAGGATGAGAAAAGGTAAGAAAAGAAGGAAGACAATAATAAAGATTTGTATGGAAACTGATGAAATAGAGAATAGAAAAACAGGAGAGAAAATTAATTAAAACCAGAAGTTGGTTCTTTGAAAATGTCGATAAAATCGACAAACATTTAGCTAGACTGAAAAAGGAAAAAAGAAAGATGACTCAAATAACTAAAATCATTAATGAAAGAGAGACATCACTACTGACCCTAAGGAAATTTAAAAAGAAAATAGGATATACTACGAACAACTGTGTCACAACAGATTAGATAACTTAGATGAACACATTCCTAGAATGACAGCAACTACTGAAACTGACTTCTAAAGAAATAGAAAATCTGGTTAGACATTTAATAAGTAAAGCTAGACTTATCATGGTGATCATTTCATAATGTATTTAAATGTTGAATCACTATGGTATACACCTGAAACTGACATAATACTGTTCCTTAACTATATTTAAATTGTAAAAAAAGGTAAAAAAAAAAAAAAGTAAATAAAATAGTGTAGTATTTGTGTGTGACCTACACACATCCTCCTGGGGAAAAAAAAAAAAAAGAGAGAGAGAGAGGGATAGAATTAGTAATTTAAAAACTTCCCAGGGCTTCCCTGGTGGCACAGTGGTTGAGAGTCCGCCTGCCGATGCAGGGTACACGGGTTCGTGCCCCGGTCTGGGAAGATCCCACATGCCGTGGAACGGCTAGGCCTGTGAGCCATGGCCACTGAGCCTGCGCCTCCGGAGCCTGTGCTCCGCCACGGGAGAGGCCACAACAGTGAGAGGCCCACGTACCGCCAAAAAAAAAACCTTCCCAAAAGAAAAGTTTAAACTGAGATGGTTTCAGTGGTAAATAATACCAAACATTTAAAGAAAAATTAATACAGATTATTCACAAATTATCCCAAAATATAGAAGAGGAGAGAACAATTCCCAGATCATTCCATGGGGCCAGTATTACCCTGATACTAAAATCAGACAAGGATTTCACAAAAAAGAAAACTACAGACCAATATCTCTTATGCATGTAGATGTAAAAATCCTCAGCAAAATATTAGTAAACCAAATCCAACAATTTATAAAACTGATTATACACTATGATCAAGTAGGATTTATCTCAGGAAATCAAGATGGGTTCAACATCTGAAAATCAATTAATGTGATATACCATATCAAAACCCACCTGATCATCTCAATAGATGCAAGAAAAAAATCTTGACAAAATCCAACTCCCTTCCATGATAAAAGAACTCAACAAACTAGAAATAGAAGAGAATTTCCTCAACCTAATAAATGGAACCTATGAGAAACACACAGTAACTTTACACTAAATAGTGAAGTGCTAAAAGCTTTCCCCCTATAATCAGGAATGAGGCAAGGATATCTATTCATGCCACTTCTATTCAACATGGTACTGCAAGTTCTAGCCAGAGCAAAAAGGCAAGAAAATAGAAGACATCCAGACTAGAAAGGAAGAAATAAGATATCTCTGTTCACAGATGACAGGATCTTGTAACAGAAAATTTTAAGGAATCCACCTAAAAAAACTATTAGAATTAACAAGGAAATCCAACTAAGTTGTGGGATTAAAGATCAAACTATAAAAATCAATTGGATTTCTATACACTAGCAATGAAAAATCTGGAAGTAAAGTTAAGAAATGATTCTAGCTATTATAACATTGAATAAAATACATAGGAACAAATTTAACAAAAGAAGTGCCAAAATTATATAATGAAAACTGCAAAACATTGTTGAAATAAGTTAGATACTAAAATAAATGGAAAGACATCTCGCGTTCATGGATCAGATAACTTAATTTTGTTCAAATGGCAGTACTCCCCCAAATTGATCCACAAATTCAATTCAATCTCTCCCTACATAAAAGCAAGAAGTAGAACAATGTATATTGTATCTGTGATAGATAGATAGATAGATATTTGTATCACTTATATTTTCATAAAGTCTGGAAGGATTTACAAGAAATTAACAAAAGCATGCAAGCATTAATGTACTGCCAGCTTGCATTTTGTGGTAGTTGTTACATTGAAACTGGGTGAACGTGGGAGCAAGGTAGCTTTATTCATTGTTCTGCTTTTTATATTCTGTGCATTATTTTAAAAAAGGAAATGGGGAACATACAGGAGTAGGAATTTCCACCCCAGCAGCTTGTAATGTAGCCAAGGCTGATTTACAGAGTCAGACCAGGATCACTTAGCTCATCAATTCAACAAATAAGCTCTGTGTGGAGGTACTCCTTATAGGACGTGTGGCTTCACATTACTTTGGACTTCCAGAGAATATGACTAAGACTAAGATGAGAGCAAGTGAGGGGAAAAGGAGATCAGAAGGAGGTCACTCACTAATTCCAGTGGGATCTGAACTTCTTTATTTCATCTCCATGGCAGCGGTAGCTAAGACTCTCCCATGTTGCTCCGGTTGGCCTTTTCTTGGCACCGTGGTTGCTTATCCAAAGGCAGAGGAGATCTAGAGGAGGTGAAAGGTTTATCTGAGGATAATTGCTGCTCAAAGGAGTAGAAAAGGTGGGGACAGAAGGAGAAAAAATGAAAAGGTGTGTGGAGGAGTTCCTGCTGATTCTATTTAACTTTGGGTACAAGAGGGCAGCAGATGGACTTTTGAGAAGAGTAAAATTAGCCAGTTCTTTGACCTCGATCCATGTTTGGATTTGTTCAGATTTTGGAGCTCACATCACAAAATGGGAAACATTTTGTTGGATTAGCGTCATCTGAAAGCGGGAAAGACTTTCCAGAGGCTTTACCATCTTTATGTAAGAAATCCTCCTGCCCCAGTTCTCTTTTACCTTTCTCCAAACTTCTGCTTTGTACATCTTTCTGAAGTTAATGAATTGAAAACTATCACTGCTTAATTGCTTTTAGCGATGGACCCCTGCATGGGTGGAAATGGATGTGCTCACATCTGTCAGAGTCAGCATGGCGTGGCCAGGAGTGCCTGTCACCCAGGGTACCAGCTGTCTGAATACAAAAAGGCCTGTGCAGGTTGGAAGTTGAAACTGATGGATTAATTGGGTAATTGTTTGAAATTCTGTGGTAATTCAGTTTTGATTAGTCAGAACAGCTAGGAGAAAGGTGTTTTCATTTATGCTTAAAAAAGAACATTTATATTCTTATTTGATCATTCTGAAAGGTATTTTTATGAAACTTTAAAAACTCAGTGAAATTTTTAGTTACAAAAAATGATCTGGTGTAGTTTCAGAATTGATTCTTTTTGTTTTCTGTTTTTCATTCTGAAGTGAATTCCAGAATTAATATTTCAAAACCTTCCATAACCTCACAGGGAGTTTTTTATTATAGGCTACAGAAGGTGGAGATAACCTTTGAAAAGCAACTATGTGCAAATGAGTGCTCTCAGAAGTTAGGAATAATTAAAACCAAAAAGAAAGAAACTCTATAACTACAAGGTTACTTATTTCTGTTTCCTAGAAATAGCAAAAGACACACTTCAATTCAAAGATAAAAGTGATAAATTACTTCGTGACCAGAACTGATAAATGAAGTCATTCCTGTGGGACTGTCTTTGTTTTAATAACTTCTGAGAAATCACAGAATCCTTCATTTTTATCACAGCATTTCTATGAAATGAGAAACAGTTTATTTGCATTAATTAAGAAAATACAAAATGTTTCCTGACTTATGGGACTGATAAACACTTTAAGAAATTGAAAAAGAATTAGACATAAAAATTAGTGTGAAGTTAGTTTTTTTTTTCTTTAAGCCAAAACCAAGATAAAGTTTTCTGTGGATTATGTTAACGTACTTTTCTGACAGAGAACATTTCTGCTTTGGTCCTCTGTTTGCATAGCACCTACCTTGCTGAGTTTCTGACACAGAATAGGATCTTATTAAAATTTGTGGAAAATTGACAAATGTATACATATATAGATATATACATATATCCATACTTATCTATATAATATCTTTTTCAAATTTTTATTTTAATAATATCTGGTACATTATTCCTAAAAAGTCTGTCCCCAAAGTTACTGCCTATGTAGGGTTTTATAAATACCTTAGAAAAAATGAGTATTTCTCTTAAGAGTCCTGGTGGGGGTGGCATGCAGGACCGTACAAGGAGGAGGTTCTATTTGGGAAAATAATGGTGAGACCTATCCATTTAAAGGGGGGGCCTGCAGAAACTACATGGGCCACAAAATGATGTTATACTGAATAGACTTGGCCATCAGTGTCAGGAGAGAGAGAGGGCACCAGTGTTTAAATGGCATTGCCCTGTAACAATCATATGTACAATATACACCATGGATTGCTACATATGAAAACTCCAAATCTGCCTTGTGTATGGCCACTTGTACTGTCTTAAATCAGAGAGATACCATTTTTGGTTAAGAATTTGATACATATTCATGAAGACAAATTACAATGACTTCTGCCTATATTATTAGAGGATAGAAAAGGTCTATTTTTTTGTTTGTCTTCTCTTTTTTCAAATTAATAGATACTAGTAGGTTCTAATAGGTAGAAAGAAGTGTTTGAGAACATAAGACCTACAGTAGAGTTCATGTCATTCGCAGTTGGTTTATTTGCAAATATGGAACCTATGTGGTATTTTACTGTTACGTTTGATGTTGGGGGTTGAGAGGCAGGGGATGCTTTAGTGCATTTTTATAGTTTACAAATAAACCTTAATTCCAGCTCTGAAGACACAGCTCCTGTGTATCTCTTTCTGCAGATGTAAACGAGTGTGCTGAAGGGCTTGCTTCCTGCCGCCATCGCTGTGTGAACACAGTGAAATCTTTCACTTGTGCCTGCCACCCTGGTTTTGAGCTGGGAGCTGATGGAAAACAGTGTTCAAGTAAGTGGCAATAATCGCAGCCCAGGAAATGTGTGGCATTTTACAAGTATTAAACAAGAGTAACAAACAAAAGAACTACACTGAATGTCTTGCCGAAGTGGAAGCTCCTGAGAATGTTTTCCCCTGGGGTAGACTGGGTGTGGGAGCTTCGAAGACCAACCCCCTCATTTTAATTTGACAAAACAGGGGCCCAGAGTCAACAGAAAATGGTCGGTATCATGATCCACAGTGTAGACCACAAGGACTAAGTCTCAGGTCTTCTGACTCGGGGCTGTCTTGGACCCATGGCTCTCCTTTGCGAAGAGTCTGTCTTCCTTCACCACCTCTGCTGTGCAATATTTATTGAACACTAATAATTCCAGTGTAAAACTCAGGGAAAAGGAACTAGCAGGAGTGAAGGAACCAGCAGCACAAGGGGCGGCTCTAGATTGTAATAGCATGTCTCATTTTCCATCTCAGTTCCAAAGATGCCCTTTCCAGTTCTCCACATCTTAGTAAACCATCCATTCCGGGTGGAAGTCAAAAATTCAGTTATGCAAATGAGTAAGTGACAGAACTGGGACTTGAACTAGGGTCTTTAGGCTCCAAATATACTATCCTTTTAACTTTGTTATGTGTTTGTATACATCATATGTCTCTTGATCAGTTTTTTTTTTTTTTTTTTGCATTACGCGGGCCTCTCACTGTTGTGGCCTCTCCCGTTGCGGAGCACAGGCTCCGGACGCGCAGGCTCAGTGGCCATGGCTCACGGGCCCAGCCGCTCCGCGGCATGTGGGATCTTCCCAGACCGGGGCACAAACCCGTGTCCCCTGCATCGGCAGGCGGACTCTCAACCACTGCGCCACCAGGGAAGCCCTCTTGATCAGTTTTAATTAAGGAAGAATAATAAGGCTAATGATAAACAGAATAAATTATGTAATGTTTTTACCTAAGCTCTCTCATGAAGAGACATTCTTAAGGGCACTAAGTTTTTCATTCTCTTCCAGTGCATAAAACTCTAATTCTTTAATGCCTGGGTTGCCGGTGTAGCCTTAAGGTCTGTTGGTATATTTCTACTGCTTAAAGACAGGGCAGTTTTGCTGCAGTGATATTTGTCTTTTAAAGAGCAAACTAAATAACATGGGAGAGAAGAATTAACTACTAATTAGGATATAACTTCTTTCGAAGTGAATCTTTCTCTCAATGCCCTGAGGAGTCCTTTCAGGCAGAGAGAAATGTGGATGGTTTTTTCTTTCTTATTAATATCTTGGCTTTTTAATGTGGCCAGAGGTTTAGGAGGTGAGTACATTTTACAGATGCCTGAAGTAAAATCCCTTGCAATCTGACTGGTGAGTTCTCAGTTATCATGAAAGAGGGGGTCATTATTGCTAATGAGTCATGAGGTATAGGCTTTCTGTGAAAGTTACTTGGGAAAGCAATTTGCCCTAGAGTTGAATACATTTGGTAGAAGTGTATTTTTACATTTATTTCCCTCATGTGAATATTTGGCTAAGTTCTTTGTGTAGCTCTCACCAGACCTCAATATTTACTAACTGACATACAAAACTTTCTTGGTGAAAACTGGTATTTTGAGTGCTTTAAAACTTGTAGGTGGGGTAAATGTTTTCAGAACATGGTAATATTTAGCAGTGAGGAACTTCCCTGGTGGCTCAGTGGTTAGGAATCTGTCTGCCAATGCAGGGGACATGGGTTCGAGCCCTGGTCCGGGAAGATCCCACATGCTGCAGAGAAACTGAGCCAGTGTGCCACAACTGCTAAGCCTGCACTCTAGAGCCCACGAGCCACAAATAGTGAGCCTGTGTGCCAGAACTAGTGAGCCCGCGTGCCACAACTACTGAAGCCCACATGCCTGGAGCCCATGCTCCGCAACAAGAGAAGTCACCGCATTGAGAAGGCCCTTGCACGGCAACAAAGAGCAGCCCCAGCTCACTGCAACTAGAGAAAGCCCGCGCAAAGCAAAGAAGACCCAACACAGCCCAAAATAAATAAATAAATAAATTAAAAAAAAAGAAAAAAACAATGAATTACGTGTTCTTCATGTAACAGTATATTTTAGGCAAATATTGTTTTAACTTTTTCCTAGGACAACAATATTTTGTATTTATATGATTTCTTCTCAGAGGCTCTCAAAATACTGTATAGCATAAACATCGAATCCTCAAAGTGTGCTATGAATGAACTATCACTATCTTGTGATTAGAAATTAGAAAATTCTGGATCTAGCATGGTTAAATAAAACTGTCCCCAAACTACCAAGCAGTATATAGTGAACCTAAGTTCCATATGTATTTAATGCATATTTAATATATTGAGTAAATAATGATTATTTGCTATCTATGAGAAACCACGGGGATCAGATTTTAAAGTTTTTTTAAAGCATATTTTTAGCTATGATAGTTAAACAGTGTCATCTGTATCAAGAACGCAGACTCTCAGCTTACTTCTAGTGGCCAGTTCTAGATGAGTATGCGCATGTCTGAGTCCCGTATAGTTTAGCTCTTTATGAGGTTACAGTAATGTCATTTATATGTAAAGTACCTCCGGCAGTCTTACAGCTGCATTGATCACAGGGAAACGAGAATAGGAGCCAAACTTTGAAATATGTCTCCCTACAGAGTATATGCTAACATACTGTGAAAACTATCAGTTCCCTTAATTATTTCAGCCTTTCCTTTAGCTCTCTTATTTTGCTGTGTCCTAAACTAGCTGTTTCTAAACCCAAAGGCATTCTTATTTTCAACAATAAACTCATTAGCATAATCTTTTTTTTGTTTATTCAATCATTCAAAACCTATTTGTTTTTTAATTTTAACACTTTTTTTTAACATCTTTATTGGAGTATAATTGCTTTACAATGGTGTGTTAGTTTCTGCTGTATAACAAAGTGAATCAGCTATACATATACATATATCCACATATCCCCTCCTTCTCGGGTCTCCCTCCCACCCTCCCTATCCCATCCCTCTAGGTGGTCACAAAGCACTGAGCTGATCTCCCTGTGCTATGTGGCTGCTTCCCACTAGCTATCTATTTTACATTTGGTAGTGTATATATGTCCATGCCACTCTCTCACTTCATCCCAATTTACCCTTCCCCCTCCCCGTGTCCTCAAGTCCATTCTCTACTCTCAAAACCAATTTTTGAACATCTGTTACGAGCTGGGTAATACAAGATGATGAAGGTACAGAGGAATGAGCACAATGACAGGGATGTGCCCTGGGCGCCCTGGACACATGGCTGCTGCCTAGCGTAGGCTGGAAGCTGGGACCAGGGAGCATGATTTCTGTACATGTAACTATACAGCGACATAGCAGATACCTTGGCAGTTTGAATGGTGATACAGGCTCTCAAGGAATACCACAATCCTAAGTGCCCTTGTCCTGTTCTTTCGCATCTTTCTTCTTTCAAAGGATTCAGGAGTTAAGAATGGAAGGAAATGAACCAATATAGTCGCTCTCATTTAGAGGTGTGTCCAAGCAACACAAATGAAGAACAGAAGGGGGCCAATGGTGAAAATAGCAGAGTATCTAATTCCATACTTTTAACAATGATGCAAAGCGTTCTTTTATTTTTCATTTTCTCACTTAGAAAATGATTGATTATAATACCTGTGTGCTCAGGAAAATTGACATCTATGTACTGAGCTGGATGCCCCCCAAAGTGCCCCAAGGTAGTGGCATGTACCATGATCAGCAAATTAGTGCTCAAAGTAAGAGAATGTTTATGTAATAAGTGACTTTTGTATACATCAAAGCTGATTAGCATATGAACATGATACCAGTTACATATAATCAGCTAATTCATTGGTTTTTTGTTCATAGTTTTGTTCCAAAGCCATTTTTAACAGTATTTTCATGTACTCACAGCCTAAGAAAAGGGCAGATATTAACATACCATTAGTTTGAGAACAGATATGTCAGCTGTATTTGCTTTCTGATCATTGATTCAATACACATATTTTTTACATTCTGAAAATACTGAAAATTCCCAGACGTAAGTGTCCTTTAAGATACGTTTAATAACCATTGGTGGACTCATTACCTTTCTGCCACACTCTGTCAGTTTGACATTATTTATAGGTTTATAAGCTTTTTGATATGGTCTAGATATTTACAATGCTTAATAGTCCTCAGACTTTTACTTTTATATGCTTAGAGTGTTGACAGATTTCCAATAAAGTTAGTCATCTCCCAACAGAGAGAGTGTACCCATTGTTGCCATATATTCAGATTTCTCTGTTATTATGCTAATAATTCTCTTTTGCTTGTTTTGGAAAGGGATTGAATTGGAAATTGTCAATAGCTGTGAAAAGAATAATGGTGGTTGTTCCTGTCACTGTGAACATGCAGTTGGTGGGCCCTGTTGCTCCTGTAACCATGGACACCAACTTGATTCAGATGAGAAAACATGCATAGGTAATGTATGGTAAATGCCATCTTCCTTCAGAGGTTGCCCTGGATTCATTTAGCCCTTTCTTCTCTAATACTTAGTGCTCTAATGTAGCCACATCTCTCAAACTGCAAGAAGTAAAGTGAACAGTGTCTTTGGCTACTGGATAAATGTAAAAGAAATACTAATTGACAGAAGACATCATTGTGTTTAGATATTTACTTTGAAGTTAAAGGAGATTTAAAACTTATTAGCAATATATATGGACTTAACAGTTTTATTTCTGGAAAATATTCTAAGGCCTATCTAACCATTTAATGTAATTTGTAATTCAAACAAAAATGCCACCATGCACGCTAATTCTCTCCACCACAAGCAGAAGCAATCATGTTCTTTGGTTTTCAACTTGGTGATAATTTGGATGTCACCTTTGACATGGCAGGTAGCTACGGTCCAAAAGAAAACTTTAAAAGATGTTATTCTTTGGAAGTCCCAGCTCAAAACTATTTTTAATGGGTAACTTTTTCTACATATTATCAGAACTTATATCATTTGAGACAATGAGAAGAATAAATTCCACCCCAGCCTTGCTTCATAATGAAATGTTTAATCTAGAACTTCTGAGAAAAAGGAATATCTACTAAAAATAGGAAGAGTGAGCATCAAACTAAATTACTATGTGCTCTGGGTCTGAGAGCACCTACAAGCCCCTAAAACAATTTGCCATCATTCGAGAATTATGATACCATATTTGCTTGTTTTCTTTTGTGATACTTTATATCACCTTTCTTAAAAATTATGATGTGAGTACTAAAAACAATCTTTGACCATTTCATGCTACAGTATGATTTGAGGCAAACTGAAGTACCAAAAGAGAAGAGGTGAATTTCAAAAGCCTAAGTCATTGAGATTTTTTAGTTTGGCACTAATGTGACAGAGTGAACTTCAAGGGATTTTAAAGTATTCTGGTTTCATAAATTATTTAACCAAAACAATGTCATTACTTGTTATTTCTTGATCGAACATCACCTTCTGCATTTTTCTCAGTGTCTATGGTGATTAACTTAATGAAACCAGTTGATTGCCTTGCTTCTTTTTTGTAATGAAAATTATGCTTATAATTTTCTACCTTGCTAACATTTGTATCTCTGGAAAAAAAAAAGGGCTTCCTTTCTTCTTTGCTTCCTCGCTCCCTCCCTCCCTTCCTTCTTTCCTTCCTACCTTCTTTTATTGACTGTTGGGTAAGGGAAACTGGAATTTTGCTAAACCTTTTGTTTGCAACTTATAGTTTGATATCTTTCCTTATTCTTTGAAAAGTACAGTTCAGTAAATTTCTTATTTACAGCCAGAAAAAATAGCATCTTCCAGGGTCAAAATGTAGAAAATTGCATATTTATGACATTTCAGCAGTCAACATGACAACATTGTTTTGTTTACGGCTCAAGTTTATTTCATTTTCCAACAATAAATAACACTCATTCCTAAAGACCAAATATTCACTAGAGTAAAGGCAATGATTTGTTTGGAGTGTGCATATACATACTCGGCTTATTTGCCTGAGAACAGATTAAGGCCATGGATGCTTTGTAAAACATTCATGCATGAGGGAAATTAAACAATTTTCTTTTTAGTGTATTTTAGGATCCACTTTCCTTTTACATAACTTTCCTTTTACACAACGTTCCTTTTACAAATAAATGTGTTCTAGTCTGCAAATGGTCAGTCTTGCCCAAATGCAAAAATGTATTAGGGCTAAAACCTAGAGATGTTTTAACGCAATTTGAAAGACAACTATACAAAATACAAGTGTCTGACCAGCAGTAAGTTCACTAAATTTAACAACTGGTAGTTATCAGAAAAAAATTTTATTCTAATCTTTGGAGCTTTATTCAGTGACTATGTGTGGGGGGTAGATACAGAAGGTCAAGTTTTTTCAAGGTTTACGTTTGATGCTTTTCTGAAGTCATAATTGAAATGTTTAATTGTTTCACCTGACTGCAATTAATGCTGTAGTTTTGATTAGGGCTAAATTTTTAAGTACAGGTGAATTTCTCTGCGATGCTGCAATATTTGGTGTATTGGCCAATGTAAATAGGAAAAATATTATCATCGGAGAGGAAGAAAAATTAAAAATAAAAAATAAGCAAGGAAAGATATTACCAAATAAGATCTGGAAAGGAATCAAGACATTTAGGAAAACAGGTGATATAAGGGTTGAAGGGACAGGACATTTTAAGAAAGGAAGAGTGGGGTTTCAGATGAGTTCTGTACATGAGACAGAAATAACCCCAGAGGAATGATAATAGAAGAAGAATCCAAAATGGGTCATAAAATGATAGATCGAGGAATTCATTTTTCCAGTTATGTGATGCAATTGTGCTCCTTACTGGTTGAGAACAGGGAATCATGAGACGTATATGTTTAGAGGCTCTGGTGATATCTGAGAAGACTTTTAAAAAAATCTTGAAATAAGAAAATCCAAAAAACATAATGTTTTAGATAAAATTAAACTGAATTTTTTAAAGTTTTTTTTTGTCCTCTATATTCATGCTATATAATACAAAGGATAAATGAAGTTTTAATATAAGAAAGGAAAAAAATATCATCTAGAGTTTTGTGAGTAGCACTGCTTGTGACATTTTGCAGGAGAAAGAATGTTTTGTGTCCAAATGACCTTCATTTGGATATTTTATGGTGACCCCTAACCTTAGCTGATTGATTGCATTTTCTTTCCTTCCTTTCTCTTGTCTGCATTTTCTTACATTGGTACCCTTTCCAAGGTTAATTGAGACACTGACCTTTTATATCTGGGGCCGCTCATGTAGTTATGGAGCAATGGGATTTTGTAAACTCAGCACTGACAGGCCACCCAACTTAACAATTCAACAAAGGGGGTAGAATTGAACTAAGGACCTATAGTCAAAAACCCTGACCACACAATTCCCAGGTGTCTAGCCTGGTGAAAGCAGTGGGTAAAGAGTCTGTTGCTACCCTTTAGCCAATTATATTATAAATGATCCCCTCAAAACTCAGGATAAATCGATTAGCCTTTGGCTGAAAGGTTTCAATTTGACATCTTCTGGTGCATTTTTATTTTCTGCAGGGCAAATAAAGGAAGACACATGCCAGATTGTAGAATCCTAGAATAACAGTGCTGAAGGAGACTTAAAGATCATCATTTAGAAAGCTGTTTATCTGCTAGGACACTCCAGGGTAATAGTGTCACCAATTATAATAAAAACTCATCCCAGTCAAAGCATCATCGAAAAGTTCAAGCAAATGCCCTGAAATATTCTGTAATTTAACACATAATATTTAAAATGATTGTCTGCCCTCTCTCTAAATTGCCTTTATCCACTTCTCTTCCCAGTCACGTGACCTCTTTTTGCTTGGGAACGTTCTTTCATCTGAAGTTCCAGAAGAACAAACACATGGGGGCCTAAGACTGCCTCCTCTTTGCAGCTATTAAATGTCCATTAAGTGGAATTTTTTGGCTCTTCTTCTCAAGCTGTTTTTTTGTTGTTGTTCTTCAAGTTCTCTGTTTGTTCAGTTAGATTGCTGTTTAAACTGGAAAAATAGCAGAGATCTCTTACCCTGTGCTTATAAATGCATTTGGAGATTACTTACAGCCTTTTCAAATAAATACCAGGCATAGAAGCATGTCAGAAACGTACACCCAAATGCGGCCTCATTTGTTTTGTGTTATAGTCTCTTCAATGTCTGTACTCAGTAACCTGAGAAATAGAAAATGGTTAGTAAATCAGTTTTAATTTCGAAGTGAGGCTTATCAGCACCTTCAAAGGTCAGTTAAATTCCTGCCCTTAAGTAACAGAAATGTCCTTTCCCCCTTTAGACCTTGATGAATGTGAGAGTGGAGAAGCCTGCTGGGCCCAGCTCTGCATCAGCTACTTAGGAGGCTCTGAATGCAGTTGTCAGGAAGGCTTTCGGATCAGTTCTGTCGCTTGTGGATGTGATGGTGAATTCCTGAGCTCTAACGTGAAATCCCTGATGTGATGGGGCCATCAATGGAGGGGGAATATCTGAGGCAGAGGGTTAGGGTGGGAAAGGGAAGGCTTTGACACTAAAGAGACTTGGATCTCTCTGTGGCTTAACCATGTTCTATTATATGAACTTGGGTGCCCTGAGCCTCAAATCCTCATCAGTAAAGTGAAGACAATAATGGGATTACTGGGGAAATTAAGAAAAGTAATATATGTAAAGTGCCTGCTACTGTGATTGACATCGAGAAATCACTCAACTAAAAGTAGCTATTATTATTATAATAATAGTCATCGGCCCATAATCCCTTTTACCTAATTTAATATATATATAGGCAAGTGAGAGATTCCAGCAAGCCATAGCACACTGCCACAGGAATTGCTCTTGGCAAGCTTGACTGGAGTCGGAGGTGATTACTGAGTGTCCTTCTACTTTAAGGGCAAAAGGATTGCCGGTTCACAAGCCACAGTCCAAATCTGTATCAGAATCCTTTATATATCTGATATCAATCTAGATAATGCAAGCTTTAAGGTGAGTCATTTTATAATTTTCTAACTTATTTGTTGAAATTGATTCACTTACCTTTTAGATGACTTCTAGCTGATAGGTGTATTTTTATATGATAGGAGAGTTTGAATTCAGTGAGTAGAGTTAATTCACTTTTTTATACCATTAAGAAGGGCTCATGCAAGTCATTGCTGTAAATTACTTTAACGAGTTTACCTTAAATATATAATCTTTAAATTTTCATTTGTGATTATTATTACCATTATTTTGAACCTTACTTTTCTTCTTGAAATCAAAGATTCGAAGATTGTTATCTATTTCAATAATAGTCAAATTATATAAGAAGACTTTAATGCCTCAGAGAAAATAGTGTTTCTTGGATTAAAGAAATAAATTCTTGTATTCTGTTGAGGATGATAGTTGTGTTTCTTCATATAGGTGCCAAGCTCCCCAGCCTTGCAGTATAGATAACAGCAAAGAACATACAACTATGATATCTATATATTCTAAACACAGTAGAGCATATTACCACTTACACCTCCCATCCAATTAACAGGGCCAAAAAAAATTGAATTTCTTGTACCATCTGTTCTTAAGCAAAGTGAGCCAAGAGATGATTGTGAATATACATACTTGGGTACACACATCCAAATGGAAAAGGTATCCACAATCTGAGGCCAGACCTGGAAACTCAGCTTCATAAATGAACTTTTAGTATATTGAACACATTGATCAAAGTCTGGGCTCAGATGTGGACATAACACCAGTAAGTCATATGAGATTAAGGCCTAGCCTTCATCCATCTCTAAAATTCTCCACAAACTGTGCACAGAATTATGCGTGGAATAAAGGCTTCACCATAGATATTGAATAATTCAAGAGTGAATGAACGTTCTGCAAAATGGTACACAGCCTAAGACCATGTAAGTTTTAAATTCTTCCTCAAATCTCATGAACAAGCTCTCAGAAAGACCTTGTCTATGTAGGTAAACTATGGTAAACTTGGAAATGAGTGAAGGAAAAGTAATTGGCAGGATATATTTGAGGAAGAATTGGGGCTATGCTTTCTATATAGCAATACATTGTTATTGGTTAATAAAGGTGACAGATATGCCCATGAGTTCATACGGTCTATTTTATCTCTCAACGCCTAAGAGCAAACACTTTAAATTTTCCCAGATGTGGGTGAATGTCTGGATCTCAGTATCATCTGTGGCCAACTACGTATCAACTCTGTGGAAAACTATGAGTATACTTGTGAGGAAGGCTGCAGAATTGGAAGTGATGGAAAAACGTGCATCTCTAAGTTGCTGTGGAGAGTTTTATCAAATCTCTTCTAACCGACTTCAACCCTTGTCTTGTTCTTTGGGAGCACGGAGACCATATATTCTTTAACTCAACCTGTCCTCCCCTTTCTCTCTTCACAGACTGAGATCTTTCTTTCCCTTTTGTTCTCTCTGCGGCAGTTTCAACTCTGTGCTTGCTGCTTCTCACCTTCGTTTACAATAGGCGGTTTGAAATGGCTTTCTCAAAGAGCTTTACCTTTCAGCTGCCCCCTGCCTTGACTGTCTAGTTCAGACTCTCTCATTTTTCCCATCAACCCTTGCTCAGTTTTTCCTTCTTTTAACCAGCATGTGGAATCCAGGTCTTTCCCTGTGCGGTCTGAGCTTTAGATGATGATGAGCTAAAGGAAGAAGAAGAGGAATTAGATATTGTGAAGTTTCCACGTCTTCTATTCAAGAGCCCACCTCAACTGCTTCATTATGTGGCCACCTCTCTGCCTCTCACCCACGAAGGTGAAGAAGATGAGCTGCAAGAGGGGAAAGATATTCGAGGAGAACTGACTGCTTTGCACAGAGTTGGTGCATAAAAGCATGTATCTCATTAAAGTCACCTCTTTTCTCCATTTTTAGATAGTTCACATAAATCTTTCATAGACAATTTCATTATCAATGTTTAATGCCATCAAGCGTTTTAACATGATATTAGCAAGAAAAATGGGACCAAAATTACTTCTTCAAAGCTCCCTATGAAATTCATCATCTTTTGTCTTTCTTCCCTTTAGCACAAAAAGAGGTTGCTATGTAGGTATGTGTGGACCAAGGGGTGCAGGGGGGTGGGCGCTATTGAAAATGTGATACAGTGAAATGGAGCTGAAAAATAGCTTTGAATCAGCATAATGGAGAGAAGGATTGGGACCTTTTAGTTCTAACAGTTTAAACTCTACTAGAAGTCATTTTGGTATAGTTCAAATTTACCTTAAATAGCCTTAACATCTAGACCCTTTCTAAATTTTAAAATGCAGAGAACCAATGGTTCAATATGCTCAAGTGGACCAAGAAAAAATATCTTTACAAATGTGAGCAGTTTTTCTTATATATCCATGCAACGGAACTCAAGCATCAAATCGCTTCTGATCAGAATAAATTAGCATAACCTCTTTCAGAAGTAACAGTTTGCAGCCAGTCTGCTGCTTCTTTTTCTTTTCTTTGTAAGACAGAGCTGCTCTTTTTGTTCTCCCTCTATTCCTTGTATTTTAAGAGCATCAAAGCTTAATGATTTCTTTAGAAGACATTCAGTAAAATAGCAGATTTGTTTATACGCTATGGTCAATGATAATAATATCAATAAATGTATCTGCATAATGATAGAAATGCTTTAATGTTACTGCATTAGACTCCTGATACTCTGGCTACTCAAAGTCAGAATAGAAATAGTTCAGGACTACCAAGACTATCAAGTCAGAACTTGAGTGGCCAAGATCTAGAGAGAAGAGAAGCTCAGACAAGTGAGATGGACAATCTGTGCTCCTTTTCTCCTTGAGCCATTTGCTAATGTATTGGCTATGCAGACAGAGAAGCCAGGAAGTCTACCGACAGCTGCAAAGAGAGTAAGGAGCTAAGCACAGTTATCAGCAGTATCATGCATGGTGCCAGAGAGGTAGAAGTTGGAGTTGAGGATCTGCCAAGGTGGAGAAGCCTTGCTAAACATGACAGGCTTTCAACTGGGACATCTGAAAGACCCCATCTAGAAACAGGGGCAAATCTTAAAATGGAATGAGCCTTAAAAAAACAACTGAGATAAAGTCTATCCATCCTTATTCAGATTAAGGTAATTTCCCTCAAGAATGGAACAGATATACACATTATGGTACATTTATACAATAGAATACTATATAGCCATAAAAAATAAACTAGTGAACACACAACATGTGTGAGTCTCATAAACATTATATAGAATGAAGGAAGCTTGATACCAAAGAGTACATACTTTACAATTCCATTTATATAAAGTTCAAAAATAAGGGGAAATAATCCATGGTGATATAAATCAGAATAGAGCTTAATTTGTAAGGCTAATGATTAAGAATCATCAAGTCACCTTTCAGTTTTTGGGGTGCTGGTAATATTCTATATCTTCATCTGGGAGGCATTTACATGGGGTTATTTACACTGTGGGAGAAAAAAGTATGAAGTGTACACTTGAGTTCTGTGCACTTCTCTGCATGTATATTAAATCTCAGTAAGAAGGCTTACTTGGGAAAAAAAAAAAAAAAAACTTTGCATAAAACAGCCTGGAAGGAAAAACACTGAAGTGCCAGGACCATTGATTATTTTTGTGTTCAGAAATTAATGGTAATTTCTTTTCATTTTTTACTTTCTTCAATATCCTAAATATTCTTTAGGGACTACTTCCAAGCTCTATTTTAAAAGGTATCTCTTTGCTATTGTCTTTTACTGGGACTCTTTAGGAAATGTGCTCAAGGATCATGTTTATTTGTTTTTTGGGACATGAAGGGTTTCATCTTTATTTTCAGTGATGTAGACAGTATGGGTCCACTAAGATGACATTGCATTCCGGTCTGTTTAGATTCATACCTTCGGACACAATTGCACGTTGAGCTGTGAGGACTGCATGAATGGAGGCTGGTGCCAGGAAGGAAAGAGTGGATGCTGCTTCCCAGCTGGCTGGGGAGACATTCTTTGTAATGAAAGTAAGTGATTCCTTGGAGCATGGGTAAGAGAGTGATGAATTTTCCTTTACTGCTGGTAAACTGTTGGTCAGGAGCTCTTTACATATGTTCTCCCCAAAATGTTTTAACAAGGTTAACAATTGATATGGGTGAGAAACCAATTTATTTGTTGTGCACAAAGAATGTCTGTGAAGCACTGAGGTTTCAAACTGAACATGTGATTAAAATGGGAGATTTTGTGTTCCCTGGGAAACTTGATGTGCTGTCTCTTGTTCATCCATGGAACGTAAAAGTTTATAAAGGATCCTAATATTCTAGGCCTATAAAAATCCCTCCATTTAAATAAATCATTAGGCCCTGGCAAGCTACTCCCAAGGAAGAAAGAAAAATGAAAGGATTTGCGTTACGAAGTGCAGTTAATGGAACTGCGCGACTGTTCGCTGCCTCTTTTTTGTTTGTGTTCTCTTTTTCTTTTAAACAATATGTAAGTACAGCCAATGACACTTGTAAGTTTTTTATATGTCTCTCATGAGAAAATGTCAATGATTTGAAAAATAATACCTCTAATAAATTTTTTCCTTTATATTTTAAATGGAGGTATATTTGCAGATACTAAAACTGACAAGTAATAAAAACAGAATATATTGACTCTTTTTATTTCCTTTTTCTCTTTTTAAATTTCCCTTATAAATTTTTTAATAAAAGAGTTCTCTTGGTCTTTGTGAATGGCTTGGAAGATGATATGAGCAGAATTTCTTTTGAAGCCCCTGCATGTGGGAAGAAAGAGCACAAATATTGTTTCTATTATGAGATGGATGCAAAAGTTGAATTATAACATAGTGAAGTGGTTCCCCCAGAATTACTAGTTAGAGTGTGGAGGCTCTTCCTGAAGCATCCCTCTGATCATGTCTCCCTGCTGCTCAGAAAGCTTCAGGAGTGTCCCATTTCCTGATACATAAAGCTTTATGCTTCTAATCTAGTTACCGGCAACCATCTAATATCAGGCCCTCATAAATCCTTTTCTCTTTTTATCCACAACTCTTTGACCAGCTTATCATTTCCAGCAAGCTACACCAGTCACTACTTAATGCTTTGCACTTTTCAGCTTTGTGCCTTTTGCTAAACTGACATCTTTGTCTATTGCCATTTATTGCCTGAAGCTTTATTTGATGGTCCCAGTCCAATCGCAGCTATTTATATTTTCTGTGGATTTAAAGCCTCTCTCTCTACTTTTCTCTCTCTCTCTCTCTCTCTCCCTCTCTCCACTGAATTAGAGTTAGCTATGCTTCTGTTCCATTTCCTTACTAGTCTGGAAGCTTATTGGCCAGGTCCTATTCACATTTCTCCAAATTGGAGGCACCTGTGCATGAATGGATAAAACTTTGTATTGAGACTTCCAGCTATATGGACCTGCTGCTTGACATAGTCAACTGTATAAAACCGGGATCAAATAAATCTTATTGCATGACTATTAGGAAGTAAATGTTTTCCCTATATTATAAAATTTTTTGGTAAATATGCATCTTCCAAACCCTTGATCCCTAACATGTCAGCATGAGAGATGAATCTAAAAATCTATTGCAAATGCATCAGAGTAAAACGTCTGACGCAAAATTAATATAGAAATGTTGAAAATGAACTTCCTGATAAAATGAAGATAACATGACCCCTTCTTTGGCTTTGGAAAACCTTGAGATTCTCTACGTGTTCACATGGTCCAGAAAAGGGCAGTCTGTCCCTGAAAACAGAAGCTTATGTCTTCTTTGCATTTCCTGTCTTTCATTCATTCTTCTTCTACAAAAATTAAAACAGAACAATCCAAATTGGAAAAAAAAAAAGTGCTCAGTAATTCTTTAACAAAAAGGGAGAGCAAGAACACTTTCTTAAAAATCCCTATAGGGGCTTCCCTGGTGGCGCAGTGGTTAAGAATCCGCCTGCCAATGCAGGGGACATGGGTTCGAGCCCTGGTCCGGGAAGATCCCACATGCCACAGAGCAACTAAGCCCGTGCACCACAACTACTCAGGCCTGGCACCACAACTACTCAGGCCTGGCACCACAACTACTGAAGCCCACGCACCTAGAGCCCGTGCTCCACAACAAGAGAAGCCACTGCAATGAGAAGCCCGCACACTGCAACGAACAGTAGCCCCAGCTGGCTGCAACTAGAGAAAGCGTGCGCACAGCATCAAAGACCCAAAGCAGCCAAAAATAAATAAGTAAATAAATAAATTTATAAAAAAAAATCCCTATAAACTGTAATAAATGGAAGTGACCAATCATTCATCACTAGTATTTCTAAGAGTACCAGCTCTTCAAATGCAGCAAGAGACATTTAAAAAAAAAAAATCTGCAGGGATCTGGAAAGTTGGTTTTCCCACGGAGTAGATCTTCTAGCTCAATGTCCTTATTGGTCTATAATGAAAACATCTACTTGGATGTTTTAGGAATTTCTCCAAGTAGTTACAATGAAACAATTAAAAAATTACCACATATTAATCTTAACAGCACATTTTAGAACTCCATTTCTTTTGAAGAGATTTCATATTGACTGTCTCATTTGTTATTGTGAGACTCTATCCAGTGGAAAGAGAAGATAGGAGTATTTTCATATGATAAATGAATGGACTATATATTATATGGAAGGGAAGATTCATGACTTCTTCCAAATCATCCAGCTATGGTTTAGCGCATGTTTGTTTTAAACTTTTCTTCTCCAGGATAATTGCTCTGTTTGATGTTAATGAAGTATTTAGCAAATCCCTGTGTGCCGTGATATCATATTCTTTTAGTGGGGGACTACCAGATGATAGTGTTGGTATGCCAATATTGATGCCTTGCTATAACCCAGATACTGTGCAAGCTATTTAAACTTGCCTAGCTTCATTTTCCAGGTATATTTTTATATATATATTTTATATATTTTAAAATATATATTTATATATTTTTTAAAATGTGCCATCTATAGTTGCTGTAAGAATTCAAAGACTTACTACGTGTAAATTAACAATGCAGGTCTCAACCAGTATTTGTTGCCGGTTTCTTTGTCTTACTCCTTTTGTTTTCGCCTTTCCTTTTCATGGTAACCTCAAGCTTGAAAGCAAAGAAAAGCAGCCAAGTTTCCATATTAGCAGCATCTGGAAAGGTGTGGGTGGGTAGATGGCAGAGGTGATATAAATGTAGTTTTACAATATTTAGCCAATTATGATAAAATGTCAATTTAAATGGTTACTAACCTTATCTCAGCAGCTCTATTTACTCAAGTTAAGCTTAAAGTCATAGACATTTCCCCCATTTTATTTATTTTTAATGGAATACTAAGCACTTCCCCCCAAAACAACAAACCAAAGAAAACAGTTCTTTGCTTGACTTTGTCAATCTTTGTGCAGAATACCTTGGAACCCTCAAGACAGTCTTAGTTGCCTTCATTTCCGGTTAAAAATCCATGGCTTTTTTTTCTACATTTCTATTTTTCAAAATAGAAGATGCAGTTTGTTTCTCACTAAGGTTAGTAACATATATAGAGCAAAAATGTTTAAGTAGTTCTGAAAATGTGAAGGCTAGAGTTTAAGGAACAAGGTAAATTTTGCATGTAAAACTTGTTAGCAGTTCTTCAGTCAGCATCATTTTAACTAGCTGTATCAGTAATTCCCCCAGCAATGATGACGCCATCCAAACTAGGAACAGGCCAGAGACTCTTCCTGAGTCTGCAAGTTACAGAGATTTTAATTACTGAGAATACATTCTAATAGAAAGACAAGCTTTTATTCTCTAACCATTTGTATCACAATGAGTATATTACACTGTATATCCACCTTCTCCATTTTCTTCATAGCTCGTTCCCCAGAGACCAGTGGGAAAGAATATGATGGCATCTGTGATTGTCAGAACGGAGGCACATGTGATCCTCTGAGCTGGCAGTGCGAGTGCCCCTCATGGGTTCATGGGAAAACCTGTGAAGACGGTAGGAATGGCTGGTCATATGAGACAGCTCTTTAAGTTCTTGATGTTTCTAATAGGAAATAAACAAAATGAAAGCTGCATCTCTACTTTTCAAGGTGGTCTTTTCTTTTTTTTTAATATGGTTTTTATTCTTCAATTTGTTAATATGGTGTATCACATTGATTGATTTGCATTTATTGAAGAATCCTTGCATTCCTGGAATAAACCCCACTTGATCATGGTGTATGATCCTTTTAATGTGTTGTTGGATTCTGTTTGCTAGTATTTTGTTGAGGATTTTTGCATCTATATTCATCAGTGATATTGGTCTGTAATTTACTTTTTTGGAGTATCTTTGTCTGGTTTTGGTATCAGGGTGATGGTGGCCTCATAGAATGAGTTCGGGAGTGTTCCTTCCTCTGCAATTTTTTGGAAGAGTTTGAGAAGGATGCGTGTTAGCTCTTCTCTAAATGTTTGATAGAATTCAGCTGTAAAGCCATCTGGTCTTGGACTTTTGTTTGTTGGAAGATTTTTAATCACAGTTTCAATTTCATTACTTTTGATTGGTCTGTTCATATTTTCTATTTCTTCCTGTTTCAGTCTTGGAAGGTTAAACCTTTCTAAAAATTTGTCCATTTCTTCCAGGTTGTCCATTTTATTGGCATAGAGTTGCTTGTAGTAGTCTCTTAAGATGCTTTGTATTTCTGCGGTGTCTGTTGTAACTTCTCCTTTTTCATCTCTAATTTTATGGATTTGAGTCCTCTCTCTCTTTTTCTTGATAAGTCTGGCTAATGGGTTATCAATTTTGTTTATCCTCTCAAAGAACCAGCTTTTAGTTGTATTGATCTTTGCTATTGTTTTCTTTGTTTCTATTTCATTTATTTCTGCTCTGATCTTTATGATTTCTTTCCTTCTGCTAACTTTGGGTTTTGTTTGTTCTTGTTTCTCTAGTTCCTTTAAGTGTAAGGTTAGATTGTTTATTTGAGATTTTTCTTGTCTCTTGAGGTAGGCTTGTATTGCTATAAACTTCCCTCTTAGAACTGCTTTTGCTGCATCCCATACGTTTTCAGTCATCGTGTTTTCATTGTCATTTGTTTCTAGGTATTTTTTGATTTCCTCTTTGATTTCTTCAGTGATCTCTTGGTTATTTAGTAACATATTGTTTAGCCTCCATGTGTTTGTGATTTTTTTTTCCCTGTAATTGATTTTTAATCTCATAGTGTTGTGGTCGGAAAAGATACTTGATATGATTTCAATTTTCTTAAATTTACTGAGGCTTGATTTGTGACCTGAGATGTGATCTATCCTGGAGAATGTTCTGTGTGCACTTGAGAAGAAAGTGTAATCTGGTGTTTTTGGATGTAATGTCCTATAAATATCAATTAAATCTACCTGGTCTATTGTGTCATTTAAAGCTTGTGTTTCCTTATTAATTTTCTGTTTGGATGATCTGTCCATTGGTGTAAGTGAGGTGTTAAAGTCCCCCACTATTATTGTGTCACTGTCGATTTCCTCTTTTAAAGCTGTTAGCAGTTGCCTTATATATTGAGGTGCTCCTATGTTGGGTGCATATATATTTATAATTGTTATATCTTCTTGGATCAATCCCTTGGTCATTATGTAGTGTCCTTCCTTGTCTCTTGTAACATTGTTTATTTTAAAGTCTATTTTATCGGATATGAGTATTGCTACTCCAGCTTTCTTTTGATTTCCATTTGCATAGAATATCTTTTTCCATCCCCTCACTTTCAGTCTGTATGTGTCCCTAGGTCTGAAGTGGGTCTCCTGTAGACAGCATATATAAGAGTCTTGTTTTTGTATCCATTCAGCAAGCCTGTGTCTTTTGGTTGGAGCATTTAATCCATTCACGTTTAAGGTAATTATCGATATGTATGTGCCTATGACCATTTTCTTAATTTTCGGGGGTTTGTTTTTGTAGGTCCTTTTCTTCTCTTGTGTTTCCCACTTAGAGAAGGTCCTTTATCATTTGTTGTAGAGCTGGTTTGGTGGTGCTGAATTCTCTTAGCTTTTGCTTGTCTGTAAAGTTTTGATTTCTCCATAGAATCTGAATGAGATCCTTGCTGGATAGAGTAATCTTGGTTGTAGGTTCTTTCCTTTCATCACTTTAAGCATATCATGCCACGCCCTTCTGGCTTGTAGCGTTTCTGCTGAGAAATCAGCTGTTAACCTTATGGGAGTTCCCTTGAATGTTATTTGTTGTTTTTCCCTTGCTGCTTTCAATAATTTTTCTTTGTCTTTAATTTTTGCCGGTTTGATTATTATGTGTCTCGGCGTGTTTCTCCTTGGGTTTATCCTGTATGAGACTCGCTGCGCTTCCTAGACTTGGGTTGGCTATTTCCTTTCCCATGTTAGGGAAGTTTTTGACTATAAGTTCTTCAAATATTTTCTCGGGTACTTTCTCTCTCTCTTTTCCTTCTGGAACCCCTATAATGCAAATGTTGTTGCATTTAATGTTGTCCCAGAGGTCTCTTAGGCTGTCTTCATTTCTTTTCATTCTTTTTTCTTTATTCTGTTCTGCAGCAGTGAATTCCACCATTCTGTCTTCCAGGTCACTTATCCATTCTTCTGCCTCAGTTATTCTGCTATTGATTCCTTCTAGTGTATTTTTCATTTCAGTTATTTTATTGTTCATCTCTGTTTGTTTGTTCTTTAATTCATCTAGGTGTTTTGTTCTTTAATACTTCTAGGTCTTTGGTAAACATTTCTTGCATTTTCTCGATCTTTGCCTCCATTCTTTTTCCAAGGTCCTGGATCATCTTCACTATCATTATTCTGAATTCTTTTTCTGGAAGGTTCCTATCTCCACTTCATTTAGTTGTTTTTCTGGGGTTTTATCTTGTTCCTTCATCTGGTACATAGCCTTCTGCCTTTTCATCTTGTCTATCTTTCTGTGAATGTAGTTTTTGTTCCACAGGCTGCAGGATTGTAGTTCTTCTTCAAGGTGGTTTTTCTAAATAAGTAAAGGGCTGTGTCTATATATACAAGAGCACAATTGCTTTGACTGATGAATGTGTAACAGAAAAAAATAACTGATACTTAAATCACCAACTGTGATCTAAGCAGGATGAATCCGGATACAGAGAAAGCCTTTCTCATTTGCTGAGCAAAATGTGGAGTTCGTGTGCAGAGGTTTACACATAGGGCCTGAGTGAATTGATTTGCTCTGCATAATAACAGAATGAAGAAAATGAATATCTTTGGGCAAATCATGGAGGAAGTGAGATAAAAATCAGAGAAGAAAAGGAGAGGAGAGAAAGAGGAAAAGAGAGGAGAAATGATGGTTGAAAAACTCACAAAATACCAATCCAATGAGTGCTGCCTGTGGATTTTTCATGGAAATCAGTCAAGAGACCACATTTTCTACATGGGTGGATAAAACACAAAAAAGAAACTGCTTGTACAGTCCCAGGAGTTGAAGGCAGAGAGTCAATGAAGATATAAGTCTTCAGGGATTGCCAGAAATCATGGGGAGTTTATTAGGTTCTCACAGGTCGTGAAACTGGGGAGATGGAAACCAAGTTTAGTTTGCTCTCACAGTGGTGCAGGAAGACACCTCTAGTTGTTTATCCCCCGAACGATATTCATTCATTTATTCAAAAAATATATATTAAGTGCTTGCAAGGCACTGTGCCAGGTTTTATGATATGGTAACAAAACAAAAATAAAAAAGCTCCTGGTCCTTCTTCGTGGAACTTACAGTCTTGTTCAAAGCAGACATCGGTTACAAATGTTGGTAGGTATTTCAAATTAAATATTAATGTGTGCTTGGAGGTCAGACCATGAGAACCATACAGACTGTGTGAGCCAGGGAACAACTTCTAGAGTAGTGACCCTTAAGCAGAAGCCTGCAAAAGGAGGAGACATGAGACAGGGGAAGAGAGAGTGAGCCACGTGTTGCCCAGCTCTGAAGTGGGAAAGAGTGAGGTACATTAGAGGCACCTAAGGAAGGCCAGCTGGTGGAGCAAAAGTCAATGAGATATTAGTGCAACATGAGGTCAGCCAGTGCAGGGGCTCATCAGTCTTGTTACGTTTGGAGTTTTTAACCCAACAGCAATGGCAAGTCATTGCAGAATTTTTTGGCAGTGGATATAAAATCACAGGGTTGGTTTTTAAAAGAGCTCTCTAGCCTTGGTCCAATCAGATTGGAAATGTCTTACCTTTTGCAAGCTCCTTATCTTATGTAACAACCGCTCTAGTGAGGTTTGCATGTGGGTTAATATTCACTTCCTTTGTCTTTCTACCCTTTAGGATGCCCAAAAGGATTCTTTGGGAAGAGTTGCAAAAGGAAATGTAACTGTGCCGACAATGGCCATTGCCACAGGGTGTATGGTGCCTGTATGTGTGAGCCAGGGCGCTATGGGAGGTTTTGTCACCTGAGTAAGTCACAGGCACGAAATTTCCTCTCTGTGTGTAAGCAAGGAAGCTCAGAAAAATACTGAAAATACTTTAGTGTCAACTTAAAGGAAGACACCCAACATAAGAGCTGTGAGCTTAAGTTTTATTCAGGGTCTTGCTGAAGACTAGAGCCTAGGAGACAGCACCTCAGTTTGCTCTGAGGAAACTGCTCCAAAGAGGTAGGGGAGAAGCCAGTTTATTTATATATATTTCTATCCTCCCATACACATCTCATTTAATTTTAGGGTTGACTTAACTGGCACCACACCTGTTATATGATATTATACATTATCCTTTACTTACGTAAAATAAAATGCCTTATATATTATTAAAGAGGAAGTGCAGTAATATGAAATAGCCCATACATTTTTAAAATGTTATTGCCAAGTTATGTAAATCTGCATCTCTGTAAATGACATTTTAAGGTAATTAAAAAAAATAAACACTCTTCCTACT